GCCTGAAAATAGCTGAGAAGAGGTTGTCCTGATCAATGAACTGTATCCCAAGTCTTTCCTGATCCTGAATTGTAACGTTCCTTCCCTAACCAACCCTGTAATCATAGGTACTGTATGTGAATTGTGTGTGGCTATTGCCACAAATCACTTGACAAGAGAACCGTGTTCTGTGGGAGGGACAGTTAGTGTCGGGGGTGGGGTGGGGCATATTTGACCCCCACCTCACAGAACTCAGCCTTCAGCTGATGCTGACAGCGATTCTCCCCGACCCCATTATTACAGTGCCAGGGGCTCCAGTTATGCAGGGCGCCAGAGAGATGTTCTAAGATAACCAACCACTGCAAGCTTAAAGCAAAACCTTTTATTTGATGCAGGAACTATTAAGGTACAAAAAAGAACATTTTTAAAATGTCGGCTGTGAGCTACTGTCAACTGTTTACAGAAGTCTGTACACATCAAGTAAGTGGCTACCGCTGTCAATCTAAGAACACCTGGAGCACACGGCCCCCAACAACCCCGAGCAGGTCAGGAAGGGCACAGGTTCCCCTCAAGCTGTGAGAGCGCGTGCGCCGTCGTAAAAACAGTCGCTTAGATTTTTTATTAACAGGGAAACTAAGTTACCTACTCTCTGTACAAACATATTTGGTTTTTACAAAAGCTTCGGCTGCTGTCGACTCTCGGCACCCCATCACCCCCACCCCTTGAGATGCCGAGTCTGACAGACAAGCACGCACCAGTGCAATACAACGGGAATCACTTTGTCCAACGTGAGGGATGGCCAGCTTTGCCAGTATCGTCTACAAACAGAAGACAGCGCTTGCGTCTACACAACTGAAATTGTGTCTGACTTGAACATCAGTGGCAACGGTGCTTTCAGGTGTTGTCAGGCTTCTGATGGCGCAGCACACAGGGCCCAATCAAGTCAGAGCTGCGGCTACTGGGCAGTTAGGACATGGGGAAGGTCTTTGAGGGGTTCATGGTCCCAGCTGAATTGTGTGAGGAGGCACCCAAGTGGAGAGAAGGCAAGTAGCCCCAACCCCCAGGAGATGTCCCTGGGGGATTCAATTTGTGCTCATAAATTAACCTTCAAGCAGCAACTGGAACACACCCCTTAGCAAGTTGCTGCCAGTGGTTAAGGGGAAGTCAGGACCACTTATTAACACTGGGCCGTGGGCTCGAGGTGGCTCTGTGACTACGTAAAACTAGAATCCAGGACGTGACAGCTGTCGCTCAGAGGGTAAAGCTGGAGACTGTCTCCAGAAAGCTCAGACGGCATTAAAAACATTAGACGGTATGATGGAGGACCATTACTAAGGTGAGAGAAATATCACATGACAGTAAATAATCCTCAAAATACTGCTACTTAAAAAATGCATTGTTTTAAACTAGTGACAGATGCCAGGCACGTAAGAATGTCCCCACAATGTCACCCTGAGCTTGGCATTCAAAGGCACTAACAGGAAGGCAGCACCCACCGGTCAACTTCAACATGGCCGACGAGAGGAAGAGTGGGGCTGAGAGGCGTCCAGTGGGGAATGCCACTGAGGTCCCCGGAAAACAAGCTCGGGAAAATGGCTTGAGGAGGTGGGATTACTTATCGCTGAGACAGAACCACCAGAGGGCTAACTTCACCGGGGTTTTCAAGTAAGGGCAAGGCCCCCAGCTGCTTTCTCCTCAGGGAACAAAAGCGCGGGCTTGGATTTCCATAAGGCAGTCCTACAAAGTGCTCTTCTCAGCAGAGGAAGCTTCAGAATTTCTCTTGCTGTCAATCCAGCATCCATGCACAGATGTCCGAAATAATTCAGGCACAGCCCTAGGTGCAGTGGGGACCATGCAAACTTTCTCCCATCCACAATGCTAAAGATTTGATCAAGAGCTAGAATAAATATGGTCTTTCAGGTGCGGAGTTCAAACAAAATTGCCCATGTGCCATCGTTTTTAAATTGGGATAACAGAAATCTAATTTAAAAGTAACTGGCTTGCCTTTCTCTTAAAACCGAAAAGCTAAAACCCATGCCCAAATGTGTGGATTCCGACTCACAGGGACCCTACACAGGGTCTCCAAGGCTGCTACCTGTATGGGCACAGTCAGCCTCTTTGCCTATGGACCTTGTCGTTAGCAGCCGATGGCTTATGCTACAGCACCAACCAGGGATCTGTAAGGCACTGAGATATAAAGAAACTATCAAACTTATTTATTTAGGGGAGAGTGGGCACTAAAAACAGAAATACACTGGAGCCATCTGGGAGACAGATGCCCACACTGTGGGCATCAGCTGCGGGCTGGACGCTCAGCTCTGGTGTTATCTCGGCTTCTGGAGCCCTGCTCCTTGCAATCTCCCATGGGCTCCATCTTCCCCAGTCTGCTCCCTCAGCTACCCAACATTCTAAACACAGTCAGAATCACATCAGATTGTTTTCCCGCCTCAGGGAGTGGTGCAGCGAAGAAACAGTAACGGATGTATTCAGCAACAGCACTTTCTGGTAGCACTAGATTATCTGTAATTACCACAGAATGCTTTCCTTTCAAATCCTATAGAGCGGAAGTTGAAAACTAGCGGCTGATAGACCATAGCAGGTTTGTCCATTTTACTGGACCAGAATTCAAATATATGTTAAAAAATGCAGAGGCCAATATAAAAAGAATCAGAGTCTATCAAGTAAAAATTCAGACCCCCAGCCTCCCTTTAAGGAAAGATGAGCTGCCCAGTAGTTGGGTACCCAGCTCATCACTTTACTGCAATCCTCACCATCACCTATTGTCTGGCGCTGGGTAGGTGGCTAGCAGTCCCAGCTGTCTTCCTCAGCCCTGGAGTCTGCTAGACAGCTGCTCCCTGACCTGACCTCACCTCACCTCACCTCTGCTCAAGGGCAGCAGTCTCCACTAGCAACAGAACAGGCAAGGCGACCAGCCCTCACATTGGCACCATCTATCCCTGACTCTCCAGTAGACACCACCATTCACCACTCTCCTTTGAGGACCAAATGAGTATCCAATAGGGCTTTTTTCTTTTGGGGGTGAGGGGCATCATTTCTTCTGAAGTGAAATAGGTGGTCTTTTTTTCCGTTGAGATAATCATGGGGAAAAAAAATCTCTGAAAATTGTGTCACCCTACATTTTTTTCAAAGGAATCTTCCCGAGCGTAGACCTAGCAGGTTAAAAAGCAGACACTTGTGGCTATGAAGCAACAAGACTGAACATCTGGCAAACTTCGCTTAAATACACCACACTGATTCATCGACTTCATTACTACAGACGTTTTCAAACATGTGACCTGGGACTATTTTCTGTTATTGCTTAACACAGCTGCCAAGAAATTTTACCTCATTGACTTTACGGGCCCATGTTATTTGGGGGCACAAGACTTATTACCTGGCTGTGTCATCTGCCTGAGTCCTTGGGCCGAGATCTAAATGACTTCTGATAACTGGACTATCAGAGAACTGCAAGGGCCCAGAGAGCCTGTTTTCAGTGGCCCTTCTGCACTGGACAGGGCCCCTGTATCGAGTAGACCCCTCTGTGAGAAGCGTCTATCCCTCTGGCAAGGCTGAGTCAGATACCAAGTCCTTTCTGCAGGGCCTTGGCTCATTCAGATGAACAATCAATCACCACCTAATGCCACTCACTGAACTTGCTCAGTTACCGGGAGCCCTGGTCCTGGATGGTCCCCTCCCATAGGACACCAGCGAATTACCCACAGCCCTCTTTGTTGATCAAGGGCTCATAGTAACGCCACCCCAGATTCTAACTCTCCTCTCCCTGGTCTCTAAAAACCTGTGCGTTGGCAGGGGCTTCCTTTGAATTCTAGTTTACCATTCCCACCGTCAGGGGCAATTTGCAAGGAAGGAAACGCAGCTCTGCTTGGAACAGATGGTTTGCCTTAATGTGCCGGGCAGCCATTCCTATTCCCAGCATGACACAGGGCGGGCCAGAAAGTGAGACTAATGAGGCAAGACCAGGAAGTGGGACCTCTCACCATCCTCCAAGTCACTTTCTCACACCGTAGTTCAGGTACCTTGCATGTGTGTCAGACTGAAGTTGCTGACCATCAAAAACAGTGTTTCAAAGTAAGTACCCAGACCCCTTGATCCAAACTAAACTATAGAATCACTTCCCTTTCGAACTAGGTACATTCCCTTTGTCCTCTCTGCTTTAAGTTCATTTGCCAAGCCCTCTGCCCACTCCCACGGGGCCCTGCTCAATGCCCCCCACCACCTACCCGTCGCCCCACCCATTCCCTGGAGCCACTGTCAAGGACACTTCCCTCCATCCCACCCTGACAGCAGCTCCTAATGGCTCCTTGGGGGGCAACGCTTCTCCTTCTCAATAGAGCTCCTCTGATGATGCTCCAAAACTTGGACGCACAGCCGCCTCCTCAGAGCGTGCTCGTGCTCGGAGACAGGGCAGGCAGTGCAGCCTCATAAATGGGAGCCCCACGCTTGTCCTGGATTCCATGGTGACAACATGGAACGTCTCTCCTCTGAGGCTTGAGTCTTACAGGGGGTGGGGGTGGGGGGAGGGGAGAGACGGTCCTACAGCCCCACTCATCTCTCCCCGGAGCAGCTGCAGGAAACTTGATGCCAGAGAACAGACGAGCACGTTCTTCTCCTGAGAAGCTGCCAGCTGCCTTTCCAGAGCAGGGAGTATGACACATTTGCAGCAAAAAATACACACAACCCTTTTCTTTCCAGCAGGGGCTCTAACTTTCTCTCCCCCAGCCCCCAGGCCCGCCCTCCTCCGGATGTTTCTCAGCACCAGCCCCCCCAGTGTGGCCTATCTGAAGGAGGGGAGAGAACAACGGCTCCTGGCGTTGAATGCTGAGAAAATCCAGTGCCAAGTCCAACCTTGCCTTCGGAAAAGGCCAAGAAATTGCTCAACGCCCATCCCTTTTGCCCACCCCTCACCCCCACCCAAGGATATGGTCCTCAGGGGAAACTAGCACATATTATTATACCCAGGATGGGAACTGCGGAACACTTGGCAAATAGAGATTCCGAGAGAGCATGCAACTTTTCCTTTTTATAGCAAATGCGTGCCTCTTAAAACCCTGTCTACTTTGGGGAAGGACGGAGCAGAGACAAACACCTCAGAAATACAAAGTGAACTTGGTTGATCCAAGCACTTCTGGGTCTTCTTCAGAAGGTAATCAAAGGGCACATTCGGTGTTCTACCTGCTTTAACCAAGGCCTGTCCTTGCCCACATGGGTTCAGAGTTGTTGCCACCATGCCCATGCCAGTTGCATGTCCCCAGCACACAGCACATGGGCTGACGACTGTTCCAAGCCCAAACTTTGAACCTCCAGCTGGGCCCCAACTTTGAGGAGACTGTGAAGCAGATGGAACCTGGGGACAGACACCTGGCTGCCGGACGAGGCTCCGCACGACCCCAATTCGGATGGAGGAAGGGCTCCAGGTGCTGTAGTATCTTGTGCATGATGACCCACCCAGCGGGACAGATGGGTTACAAAGGCCAGTCTGGCCAGCCCCAGAGCCCCGCAAGCAGCCAAGTCACCCCTAACACATGAAGACAGGAGCAAAGAGAGACTCGCTCCTGATTTTGTGGCTGCTGGGACCCTGCATGTACTTTCTCCACGAAGCATTTCAAATCAAAGGCGCCAGCTGAGGCTAACTGAATTGGAACAATCCGTGTACACATCTTCCGGTTTCTCTTTACTCATCTCCTCACCGTCCCTGGAGCAGGTCTGAATGTCAGGACCAACCTCACATGGTTGGCCACAGGTTCCCAGGCCTGGCCTATGGATGTGCACCTTAGAGCTCGCAGGGTTGGGTGCTTGGCCAAGGTATCAGGGACGATTCGGGGCAGGGGGAGCAAGGACTGGCCAACATTTCACTCAGAACATCCTGGTTCAAGACCCCAGTGGCAGAGTGGGCCACACAACCAGAGGGGGCGCCAGAGAGCCAGGAGAGGCGGCAGCTAAAGTGGCAATGCTTCTGTGCTTCTTCCGATCTTCACATAGGGGCGACGGCGTGGAGTTCTTCAGTGTAGCTGTGGCACCCGAGTTCTGCTGTGCACGCCCCAGAGGTGAGGAGCTTGGAGGCAAGGGCAGGAGGCTCCTCCTCACCTGAGGAAAGGGGAGAGGGCAAAGGCACATGGTCATTCGCATGTCACTAGGTCGGCTACGAATGCCGGACGTGGCTGGGATCTGGGTTTGACACAGTGAGGCAGGCACCTCACCCTCCAGCAGGGTGGAGAAAGCAACACTCCAAGGAGTCCCAGCGCATGTGGGAAGGAGCCTTCCTACCTGGGGTGTTACGGCCGAGCTCTGATGGAGGGGACGCTGTGTCCACAAGCCCCAGGGATACAGCTTCAAAAATGAAATGGGGCAGGTGACAAAAACGGTGGGTCCCAAAAGAGCACCACCGCTGCTGCATGGCAACCCCATGGGCGCACACTAGAACTGCTCCATACGGGTTTTCGATTGTAATCTCGGAGCAGATTCACCAGGCCTCTCTTTCGTGGCACCGCTTGGGGGTGGGGGTGGGGGTGGGCTGGAACGCCCAACCTTTAGATCAGCGGGTCTCAACCTGTGGGTCACGACCCCTTTGCGGATCGAACAACCCTTTCACAGGGGTCGCCCAATTCGTAACAGTAGCAAAATGACAGTGATGAAGTAGCCATGTGATGAAATAATTTTGTGGTTCATCACACGAGGAACTATATCAAAGGGTCGCGGCATTCGGATGGTGGACAACCGCTGCTTTAGATGAACAATTGACCACTCGCCGTTTGTACCACCCAGGGACCTCCGCCCTCAAAGAGCCGGGTCTGTGAGCCTCACGGGAACCCTGCCCAGCCCAGGGGACTGAGGTCTTCGGAGGGGATGACACAGTGCACATGCTGTATGTGATAGCATGCTCTTCACAGGACTCGGGGGTGGGCTTATCCTTACTTAATGCCAGCATCATAAATATGTCAAGTATGTCTTTCCAGAGCCCGAGACACCCCAAGACTGTCAATAAACCCTCGCTACTGGACACCAGGTCTCGCTGCCAAGTCGTATGCACCGGAATCTGGAGCCCGCTTTGGGCGCGGCCGGGGCAGAGCCCGCCTCTCTTACCCAGGCCGGAGGAGGAGGACACGCTCTCTGTCAGGGAGGAGGTCTCCGTGTGGTCCGTCGAGAGCCCTTCCATCAGCGGCAGGGACAGCTCAGACGAGGGCACGGACGAGTCGTAGATGCCCGAGTCCCGCGGCATGTCCGAAGGGCCGGTGGCCTTGACCAAGTGCAGCAGGGGCCGCAGGGCAGCGCTGCCCTCGGGGCTGGCCCGGGCCTCGGGCTCTTCGTCCAGGCCGAGATGCTGGGGCCGTGCGATCGGCCCGCCCATGGCCGCCTCGGCCTTCAGGCAGAAACTGCTGCCCTCGGCCCCGGCCTTGCATGTGACGTCGTTCAAGACGAGGCCCGAGTCGAACTTCTGCAGTGCCGGCTCGCGCGCGCGGGCCGGGGGCGGGTGGGAGGGCGCGAACTGCTTCTCGAACCAGTCGGGCTCGTCGTCGATGAGCTGGTGCATGTTGCAGATGGCGACGTAGAGGGAGCGGCCCGCCTTGCTCCGGAAGTAGTTCCGCCGGCTGACGTAGCCGTAGCTGCCACCGCCGGGGTACAGCGCATGCTCCGGGGGGCGGTGGTCTCGCGCGGGGAGGCGCTGCTCTCGCGAGTGCAGGTGGGAACAGAGCTGGGGGAGGTGGTCCATGAGCTTGTACTTGGTGCTCAGGTCCAGGACGCCAGGGACGTCCCCCTCGCAGGAGTAGTCGAAGTAAACGGCGATGAACTTGCTGAGCGCCGCGCCACTCTGCTTGGCCTGGCGCAGCTTCTCGGCGATGGCCGCCACCGCCACCACGAAGAGCTCCCCCTTCGCTGGGCCCCGCGCCCCGCCTTTGTGCTTGTAGTTCTTCTTGTCCACAAAGTACTTCATGCCCTTGGAGCAGACCACGATGATGAACTGGGCCTCGTGGATCTTCTGAATGACCCATTCTCGCTGCCCTTCGCGGCGGGGGCTGAAGTCTTCCCACAGGTCCAGAATCACCTGGAGGGGAGTGGGGGTGCGTCTCACCTCACCTGCCCAGTGAGGGCGGGGGATGTGGGCGCAGGAGAGAGGGCCCCACCCAGGATGCCCATCAACCATCCCGTCCATCCCTGTCACCCGCTGCCCTCTGCAGGGGGCAGCCACCATCCACTCCGTGGGATCATTTTCTCGTCCGGTCAGGTCACGACTTTGCCACCAGTGAGACACCGCAGTGCAAGGCTTTCAGCAACTTGGCTCAGGCACAGGCCACCTGTGACGCCGCCCTCAAGGAACTAAGAGTGACCAGGGTTCATGTGTCTAATGGGCATGGCTGCCTGGAGACAAAGCCCCCGTTGGAGGCTGAGAGAATGTGATGAGTGACCCCGAGTGGGCCGGAAAGTGGGGGTCAAGCATGAACATCACGGCCCCTCACCACCCTGGGTGGCCATGTCTAGAAAGTATTCGTGCCAGGAGCACCATGCTGCCCACACCTCCCACAGCCCACCTGGGAAGGAGGGGGCTAAACTGTGATTCCATGGTGGTGCTGTGTGATTCATTCCCGGTGACTGGCAGAAGCAGACCCCTGCAGCCTCAGGCCAGAACAAAGGGGTCCCAGCTGGACCTGGCTGGAGCAGGCTGCAGAGCCTCACCAGAACTTGCCTCTCACCACACTGTTATCTAACTGTTGAAAGTGTCTCTTAGCAACTAGATTGGCCTCTTCTGCAATTCAGCAACTACTTCCCAATGCCTGGAACTGAGCAGGGAAAGGAATTCTAGAAGAACGTCATCTCCTTTTGTTCTAGGATGTTGCAAAAGGGGAAGAAAGTTTCCAGAATCCACCCACTTACTGGAAATACGCCTGAATTGTTTCACTCTCTCCCTAATTGCTGCTAACATTATACAAGTTGCAGGTTAATTGAGAACCATTTAAATATCTTTGACCCAGCAATTTCATGTCTTTATCAACTATCTATTCTTGGAAAATCATGATAAATGGGGTAAAAGCTTTATCTCCTGAGACATTATATAATGTGAATGAACTCAGTTACGGTGAACCAAAGTTATGGATTCCATGTGTCTATCCGACTGCTGACAGTGTAGAAAAGTACTCAGTGACGACTTCTTGAAAAAACAAAAACTAAAAGCACTCCAGTGAGCCAAAAATGGCAAACTGAACGCGTGAACCCACCTGTCCCAAAGCAGGTGGGAAGGAAAAACGTCAAACATTCCGCCTTTGAAAGCTTCCTCTCTTCTCCAGGTGGGGATGAAAAATAAGGCAAGTGTATACTTGTCAGCCTTTCCGATAGTTTCCAGGTTTTCTACAATAAGTTATTTCATTCATAATTGGGGACGTTTTTCCCCCTGAAGACAATCACTTACAAAGCAGAGGAATCTGGGTTGTCTGTGGCAGCTGAAGACAATGAGTGCCATGGGGTAGTCTGCTGCCTTAGGTGTGCCAACCTCCTTCAGGGGAAACCCAGTCAGCCTCGTACGTACGCACGCTTTTGAGACACTAGGAGGCAGCCTCACCACATGGAGAGATCCTGAGAAACCACCAGCCAGTATCAAAGCCAGAATCCATTCCAACCTCACAAATCATTAAACAATTCTCCTAATTTCTCTCAGTGTGAGCTTTCCATGAGAGCTTGAGATTTGCCTCTCAAAGTGATGTTACGACGTTAAAGGGAACGTAAAAAGCAAACATCCTGCCATGGAGTGACTCCCAACGCACAGTGGCCTCACAGGACGGAGCAGAACTGTCGGTGGGTTTCCAAGCCTCTAGCTCTTTCAGGAGCTAGAAAGCCTCATCTTTCTCCTGTGGAGCAGTTGGTGGTTTTGAACTGTTGTGATTAGCAGCCCATACATTAATAATCGCTTCACTCAAGAGAACAGCTAACAAAAGTAGAGCCCTTGACACATTACTGTTTTCTGGGAGTGTTCCCCCTTCCTGAGTCCTGGAGAATAACCTCTTTCCCATGGCACTGGTGTCTCCCTGTCCACTACTTTGTATCAGCCAATGACCAAATGACCACACAGAGACTTTCAGTAAGCATTCCTCCCTGGCCACCAAGACCACCTACAGTGGCAGCCCCATTTCACATCCCCCTACTTAGAAAAATTACTCTCTCCCAGCCCCTACCCACACCCGATTTTCCAAACTTTTCTTCCTGTTCTCTTGGACCCATTCCATTGGAATTTCTGTCAGGAACATGCTCACTAATGGGCCCCATCCTAGAACAGCCACCTCTGGGTGCCTCACCCTTTCCCACACCCTGCCCCTGTGTGGTCATTTTTATGTGCAGAAAACGTCCTGCTCCTGCTACCCAAGGCTTTCCAGCAGGAGTGGGCCAGAGAGGAAAAGGACCCTGTAAGGAGCCACCTAGTGGCAGGTGGGGAGGACAGACTGAAGGGAAGCGCACTGAGGCTGGCCTCAATTCAGACACCAAGACAGTGCTCCAGGGCAGGTGCCACAAAGCGGGCAGGGAGAAGTGGCAGGGGCAGCGATCAGAGCACGCAGGCCACCCAAGGTGAAGGGGATGAGCTGGGTCCCGCACCTCACAGCCGCAGAAGTCCTGCAGGAAGTACGCGAAGCACTGGACGACGTTGGTGTGGGTCTGGCCGTCTTTGCTGGAGTAGCAGAGGAAGACCTTGGGCCGTGGCCGCAGCCGCTCTCTAGGCAGTGCTGTGGTGTACACAGAGGACTCGGGGCTCTCTTCATCTAAATGTGAATATATATTTTCTAAATTGGAAGAGAAGATAAGAGTTGACACCCACGAGCAACGCTGAGTCCTGTTCCATCAGCCCCTTAGCCATCTCTTTATTTCCCCAGTGGAGCCAGCAATGGCGAAAAACTGTTCTTCACCTCGAAGCTGATCTTCAACAAGCCAAGAGCCAGGCAGGGACCCACCCAGGTCAGCAGAGACCACTTGCACTGACCACAGCCTACTAGCACTGGGAGAGCAGACCTAGTTTTAATCTTTTTATTCAGGTGTGATTTACAAAGGATGAAGCACACACATCTGAAGTGCAGAGCTTAATGTATTGTTGCCCGGGTATACACACCTGTCTAAAGGACACCCAGACCACTGGAAGAACATTTCAAGATACATGCCTACCTAACTGACACCCAGGGCATGCGAGGAACATTACCAGCACCCAGGAGGCCTCCTGACTTGTATAAGGGGGCTTCAGAAAGGTCATGGGAAAATACCATGATCTTTCCTTTCCATTTACCACAAACTTTTTAAAGTTCCCTCCTTTAATGATCAAGCAGGACCTTTACTCTCGTTATTTTCCCCCCTAACAGTTCATTGGCATATAATTCACATATCATACACTTCAATAATTCAATCGCATCAAGAAGAGTTGCACAATCCATTTTAGGACATTTTCCTCTTTCTTGTACTCACCATTATTAGCTCCCCTCACTTGCCCCCAGTCTCCCTTGCCAGACCCCCAAGGAAGCATTAATCTAGTTAGTTATCGCTATAGAGTTACCTATCCTAGATTTCATATACAGAAACACATTTAGAAACAGACAAACCTAACAAGAATAACAAAGTAAAACAGCTAAGAACCTCAATAGAAAAGAAAGCAGAAAATATTAAAAACTAGAACAAATTTAAATGGATCAAAAGATCAGATAGGGTGCTAAATTTCAACTTAACTACATCTGCACCAATCTACTTTCCAGTGCATTCTGCAGGCTAGCACGGCTATTCACAACCCTGGTCCGAGGGGCTTCACCAAGGGCTTAATCCACATGTATTTCCCCTTTACTTTTTTTTTAAACTTAAATCGTTTTCAAGTGGATATAAAGGGAGTTCAAAATTTAAGATATTACATTCTGACCTAACTATGTCTGCCATAATTGACTTTACAATATTGTCTGTCTGATATCAGGGCTATCACATCCCTCAACTATGATTAGAGGGGATTCCCCCGAGGCGAACTTCACATGTGGCACCTGGAAATGGAGCTTGGGCTTCCCGTCACCCACAGCCTTTTCTGCACACCAGATGTTCACAATGTAAGTTCTATGCCATTCCCTCCTTTAGATTTAGGTTATATTTGTTACAATACTTGGATCACACAGGCTGGTGTGCTTCTTCCATGTGGGCTTAGTTGATGCCTTACTTAGATGGCTGCTTGCTATTCCTGATTGCTGCGAGTCCGTTCCAACCCGCGGACCCTATGTGTGCAGAGTAGAACTGCTCCACAGGGTTTTCAGGTGGGATTTTTCAAAAGCAGATCGCCCAGCCTTCCTTCGGAGGTGCTTCTGGGTGGGTTCAACCCACCAACTACTTGGCTAGTAGTTGGGCTTACCGGTTGTCACTTTAAATCACTGACATCAGGTCAGCTCTTCACGTGCCAGAGTAGAACTGTGTGCCAAAGGTTTTCAGTGATGGTTTTTTTAGAAGCCAATCTCCAGGCCATTCTTCTGAGGCACTGGATGGGCTAACCCTTCAACCTTCCAATTAACAGCTAAGAACACCAACTGTGTGAACCACCCTGGGGCTTCCAGTCACCCATTAATTTCCTCTCTGTTCTTAGAGAAGCCCTAGTCGTTAAAGTGCTTAGCTGCTAAGCAAGAGGTCGGTGGTTGGGACCCAGCAGCCACTGTGTGGGAGAAAGACAGGCAGTCTGCTTTCATAGGATCATTCTTGGACACGCTACGGGGCAGTGTGCTAGAGGGTTGTGCCACAGGGCGGCCACAAGGCAGATCAACTCAATGGCAGTGGGTTTGTTTTTTTTTCCAATGTCCTTCTATTTTTGGCTGAATTTGAGAATTGTACTGAATGTGGGAGTAGACTCATGCCTGTCCTTTCTGTGGCTCCTGAGGTCCTCAGTGGAATAGAGAATCGAACACTGAGAAATGAACATCCTGTCTGCTGTTGGCACCCCAGCCAGAGAACTAGAAACAGGAGCTACACAGCTCCCCAGACACCCACCACGGACCCTAGGCACACCTCAGCTCGCAGAGGAACCAGCACTCTGCTGGCAGGGACTCCAGTCCTACCCTTTGGAGGAGGCGGGGAAGACACACCACACAAAGCGATACCTTGTTGCTTCTTGCGACACATCACGGTGAAAAGCGTGGCAAACGCGGAGATGACAACCAGTGGCACGGTGATGGCCACAGCTCGGATGGGCCCGGCCCAGGGGGAGTGCACTGAGGGTTCCAAAGGGAGGCAGCACTTTCAACTTAAGGAGCGGAACGGGTTCAAAGAGAAAAGATCCGAAACCCCCCCTCCCCACCCTTTATTTTCTTTTAAAACATAAGCCGTGTAACAGGTTCCAGGACTTCTCTACCACCAGGCTCAGGCTGGTGTTTATGAAAGGATTCTCTTCTCTTTAAAAGGGTTACCAAAAAACAACTTGAGAGTGGGTGGGTGGGGTGAGAGCAAATATCTGTGGGTGAGAATTTGGCCTGAGGGAAACCTCCCCCTTCAACTTGTCTTCTAAGGACAATCACACTATTTATGTAATCACAGCGACTCACCCACTCACCCACCGCCCTGGCTTTGATCTGCCAGCCATCAGTGGCTGGGGAGGAAGACACAAAGTCACATCTGATGGGTCATCATCTGGGGTGGGGGTGGGAGGGGTGGGGCTATTGTCTGTCTTTAAACCGCAAGGCATAAAAAGCACGGGGCTCCTAAATCTACCAGCAGCAGAGCTCAAGCAAACGGAAGTCTTACCGGGTCTGAAGGCGTAATGCACCACCTTTCTGGTTGTGTTGGTGTCGTCCACCAGCTGCAAAACACAGACGGCTTTCAGACTCAGGCTGAAAGCGACTGGGCGGCTGCTGAGCTGCTTGGTAAACCGTCCCCTAGTTCACGGGCACGCTTAAAGAAAAAGAGCGGCCGTGCTTCGGGAGTTACGTCCGCCAGGCTGGTGGAGCGAGGAAAACTAGCGCTTCCATTGTTTTCTCCATCAGAGGGGCGTGGGGAGTGGAGAGCAGGCTGACAGGCTGAGAACTGCTCTGAAGAAACCTTGCCGGGGCACAGTTGGTAAGGCCCAGATCAGACAGTCGTCTACCCGGGCAGCCTCTGCCTCAACTCAAAGTTCCAGAGTCCACCCCCAGTCCTCTCAGGGATCAAAAGGCTGCTCGCCCATTGAAGAATCTAACCAGCGACTCCCATGTTGTAACCACTCCCAATGAAAACGGAGTGCTTCTGCCCCGATTGTGCCAGACCGGACCTCCACTAACGCCTGGTGCAAAGAGAGGTCTGTAGTGGGCTGCCAACGGGGAGGCTGGCAGCGTGAACCCACCAGCTGCACATGGAAGAAAGGCCCGGTGTTCTGTGTCCCCAGGAAGGTCACATCCCAGAAAACGGGGTCTTGGTGAACGGGAACCAAATCCATCAACAATAGGCTCGGTTTGGGGGCGTATCGGTTTAAAACCTCCTAGAAGTGATACAGGACGGGGCATTTCTGCCAGGCTGTTGAGAAATGCTGGCTGCCTTTGAGCAGTGGCATTGGGGCAGCTTTTCAATTTCCCTCTCTAGTTTTCTTTGGCTCCAATTTTTGTAGGACCCCTTTTGATACTACAGAAGTAATCTAAAAGAAAAAGAATGTATCAATTTACACGCTCTTTAAAGCGGTCTTCAGAAGACCTATACATTGATCAGGAAGCAGCTTCAGAGAAGATCTAAGAAGTAGTTTAGTACTGGTTGGGTGTGCTGGGTGTAGCTTTTGCTGTTTTAATACTAACATGCATTTTAAAAAATGTTTTTAGACTCTTCTGTAGAACGAAGGGACATTAGATAGCAATTTTAAATCATAAGTACATGGATTATACTGCCACATAAAAATACTTAATGGAAACCTTAGTTATAAAACTGAAGGGCCAATTATGCAAAAGCTATTAAAAAAACAGGTTTTTAAAAGAGCTACATAAAAATACAACCACAAAAATATAACTTTCCGCCCTTTCAATGGCTGGAAAACCCAGAGCTATAAGTAGTTGGGATTCTGAATTGGATTTGTGCTGTAGAATGAACAAGGGCTTCCTGAATCATAACTACCTCAATTACATATTCCCCCGGAGAGATGTTCTGAAGGAGGCAGCTGGTTGTGTCCGTAGTCCGCTCCTGCGTGGAAACAACAGTGTTTTTAAGACTCACTTCTGGGATCAGACCTTCAGGATTCTTTTGTTCCTCAGAGCTGGAGGGAGGCTTGCCACCAGCCTCAATTGCATTTTCCGCCAGGTATGGACTCAAGCAGGGAGCAACTGTGTCAGAATTTCACATGCCTGGCATCTCCCACACACTGCTGGTGGTACCTACAGAGGGAACATTTGACTGGAGGCTAGGGAAACTAGCTACAACATTCCCTATTTAATAAAAGGGTGGGAGAGTAAAAGGGTGTGTGTGTGTGTGTGTGTCCCTGGTGGTGCAGCGGTTAGGTGTTCAATTGCTAACCAAAGTTCAGTGGTTCGAACCCACCAGACGCTCTGGGACAAAGATGGGGCAGTGTGCTTCTGTAAAGCATACAGCCGAGGAAACCTTCTGGGGGCAGTTCTATTTTGTCCTTACAGGTCTTGTTGTCTCAAAAATTCACTTGGTAGCAAAGGCTATATGTGCATGTGTTTTGTCATAATTATAATCTGGGCAGGTGGTCAGTGACAAAAATCAGATGCACGAGAGCAAAGTGGTGAGAGATGCAACTATATTACACATCTCTGGGCATGTTCGGAAAGCACTGGGTACCACCATCAGAGTCAAAACCACTCAGCACCTGCAGGGGGCGCCCTGGCAGCCCTGTGATCTTCCACAGAACCTTTCCTTGCTCGGATCACT